GTGACAATAGCCTATTTGATTCATTGGTCCTTATAGTGGACTTAACCCTCCTATCACAGCCATCCTCTCCACCTATTTATTTATGTTTTCAGCGAGTCACTTCCAGTCGGTACAAGAATTGATAGTCCTGCAACGTGCAGAAAAATTGATGTTTTCGAAACGCCAACATCGGCAAAAAAAAGATTCATGTAGATTTGCAATTATTTTGGACATTATATATAGTATATGGCCTCTCTCTTTATGAAGTTCTCAGTAGTTCAAAAAGGATAGAGGGCGCCCGCCTTGTGTATGGAAGGTCATGGGTACGCATCCTGTGGGGGACTCTTTCCTTTGTCCCACGCTACTGACATGGTGATTATTTCATTTTTACATTATTTCAAATGTTAGAAAATTATAAAAAAAATATACGCTTTTTTCTCATTGTCAATAAAAATCTGAAGTCTCTGCGCTTTTTTCACCTGATCTCATAGACAACAGAAGTTTACTGGGTTCAAAAGGTCATGGTTCATGATTTTTGATTGGTTGATTTCGATCCGTTTTGTGTGTTTCTGTGTTTCAAGGTTCGTTGTTTTTAAACTTTAATTTCCGCGTTTTCTCACGTGTTAGTTTTCTTTAGATTCCCAAGTTGAAATTCAAGGATTTTGACAATGCAAGTCTCTTGTTACCCGAAAAAACTGTTATCGCACACATGTTAAAACTTTAATTTTGCTGTTATTGCCTGTTACTGAATACGCATGCCCTGTTTGTCGTTATAGCCCCCCGCAACACCTTTGGTTGATGTAGAGAGATGTCAAAGGCGGTTTTCGTACGATAACTAAAGATGAGAAAAGATCCCCAAGAAAGGCGGATTTAGAGTTAAGTTACTTTGTGTCAAGGAGCTCCAAACCACTTACAGTAGCCAGCAAGTTACTCAAATGGTTTTGACTAGCCTGCGAATACCGCCGTCTTTCTTCGCTCACCGCCACTACTAACGTTTCGAAACGTCGCTCTAAGGCGGTGAAGAGCAAGGAAACGGTTGTATTCGCAGCCTTAGGCTGGGAGAGTGCAGTGTTAAATTTAATGTCAAGTACCATTTAGTACCATTTATTATGAAGACATATATAGCGGTCTTTCAGTGTTCTTTGTTGGTATAAAATGATAACGGAAATATTACTAGAAAACTTCAATTCAAGACTGTTGATAAATATGCATGGGAAGGAATAAGAAACAAACAAAGAAACAAATTCAATCAAACTTGTGTGTTTATTTGGTATGTCTAGTAATTCAGTTCTTTTAACTTGAATGTAAATGATCGTTTTTTTTTTTTTTTTTGTTGAAAATGGTGAAAAATTTGTGTTTTTTTTATTTCTTTTCTTATGGGAGTTTAAAAAAGGTTTTTTTTTTTTTAAATTTATAATTACCGATGCGAAATCCCCTTTTGATTATGTAACTTAACATAAATTCTTTT